CCCCCCCAAGTCCAAAGCAAAGAGGCCAAAGGGTGCAGCAGAGAGAAGGGAGGGTGGCAGGCGGTGAATGGGACAAAAAGTGAGAGCGGAGGGTTGGTTTACATGACACTCAAAGAACTGTGTGCCAGGGATTGTCTGTGCTCGCCCATTCAACTACAAATGTCTCTCGGCTTTCTCCATCTCTCTCCCCCTCTCCTCCTTTCTCTCCCCAGCCTAGGACTCACTCTCTCACTCTTACTTTACTTTTTTTTGTCTTTCTCTCTTTCTTTCTGTCCCTGCTGAATGAAAAGGAATTTGTGTGACAGGGTCTGGCCACCAATTCAACCTGACCACAGCACTGCCACAACAACAGAAAGTTTGATCAAACAAAAAGAGTTGGAGCTTTTGGGAAGAGATCTTCAAACTGGTAGGAGCAAACAGCAAAAGCTTTAATAAGGAGAAGATAAATTAGACACAGAAATGGTGAAATGGTCTTCCCTTCAATCCCCCCCTACGTTCTATCTGTCCTATCTTTATAATGAAGGCCAAAAAAGCACCGTACACATCTTTGAAAAAAAAGGCGTGTTTGAGGCAACACATTTTACACATCTTACATCAAGGCATGCAACAAAAACAAAATGGTACACCAGATTAAGCATGATGGATGATTCTAATGATTCTAATGAGCCCATGCTTTTTCTGCTACAAATTTCTTTTTAAACAGGTTAGTAACATGACAAAGTCACACAATCTACATTTGAACAACCATCATGCTGCAGGAGCACATGCACACATTTATGAGTACAGGGGTTGTTTATAGAGGCTCCAGAGAGACTGTAGGACTCTGGGCTGTTCACTGTGTTCGGGTTATAAGACGTCCTGTTTGGCTCCAACACAGATGGATGGTAGAGCCGAAGAGGGGAGGGGGGGGGCCGCGTGCAGGCCTAATCTGACTCCAGGAGGACAGAGGCTGCGTTACCAAACCATTTTCACCCATTACCTTGACAACAGCAGGGCTGGCTACGTCAGCACACTTCGGCTGATATTTGTCAGACTTATTTTTGAAGGGCATGGTTTGTTGAGATGAGATTGACTTACTGCCTGTTGCCCTTCTCCAAGTGTTGATCTATGAAGAATATTTAAGGTTTTAGAGTCCTATGACACAAAACACTGTCACAAAGAAAATCTTAAAGTTGTAAGAAACAAATGTTTTCCTTTTACTTGTCATCATAAAGTAAATGTTTATTCTACATGTACCGGCTATAGAACTATGGCAACATCTGCCTCACTTTTTTCGTGAAATTCTGTCTGCCAGGTACCATCCCTCAGAAAAATGAAGGATCGATTTGCGGCCCAAAGATCGTCAACCATTTTGCAATAAAAGTAGAGTAAAGCACTTTTGTTTTCGCCGGCAGCTAGCTCACCCCTGATTCAAAGTGTCAATGTACTATTTTCGCAGTTACTTTCCCCAGTAACAGAAATTATCAATCTAAATCGAAGAAGAGGTCAGAAATGTAGAAACCAATGGGTGCCATGTCTTGGGAAACAGCCGGTCAAAAACTGTGAGCATAATTGAAAATGTTCCAGCATCGATTAATCGGTCAACTCAAACAAGATTTGTAGTTAAGGAGAACAGAAAGTAGTGGAATCATTTAACTGTGGTGTTGCTGCAGGTTATTAAACCGTAACGGCAGTGGGACATAAAGGACTTCTTTGTTGCTGGATAAAACCAGTGTGGAAACCAGCGGTACTGGGAGACAGTGGATAAAGCACCGTATGACTTTACTATCTGGCCTTTGAGTGTTGTCGTTGTTAAGGAAGCAAAACAACAACACAGTGTCTTGAATTCAAATTGCTCTCTTGGTAATAGAGGTAAAACAAGATGGCACACTGTAAGTCTGGCAGAGATTTGTTGATTTAAAGGCTCTATTGCTAAGGATTAATACTGGGGTTGCATCATTAAGGTGACACTAATTGTTTGGGCTCTCTGGATTTTTTAGACAATCACGACCGTTGCCTCAGATCTGGTCTCTGAGGTAATATGTCCCGATGATTAAACATCCACAGAGAGAGAAGAAAGGGCGTTGGGGTGCAGACCCTTCCCTCCCTGCTGCTGGAGTCAATGCAGGGCCAAGCCAAACAGCTGATTCATGTGTCGGACATCAGGAGAGCACATGTGCAGGACTTACAGGAAGAAAGGGTGCAGGCAGGGTAGAATCTTAATGCTTCTGGACTCATTCTGATCTCACGCCAGGGAGACATGGCTGCTTTGTGCTCTGGAATTTTACACCCACAATCCCCAGTGTGAACCTCTCCTCAGCCATCCCTCAACCTCACTGATGGCCACATACCAAATTGAATCCTGTCTAACGAGCTGGAAAAACGAGCAATTTAGCCCCACCTTGATAACTAGGCTACATCATGGCCCTGATTCCCAGGATATTAAAGGGGGAGGAGTAGGCCTTGATCTATAGTAACTGAATTAATGAAACGTGTCATTTTTTACTTCTTTCCCATAAATCATGAACTGAATTAAGCAAGATTAGTTTCCAACACCTGCGTTAGCTGTCATGAGTGAGGCGTATGGCTGCCAAGCAATTTGAAATAGATCACATAAAAACGCATGTAATTGCTATTATTGGAAAACTACAACAAATAAAAAACATATACGAGTGTGTGCGCATCTGTATGTGTGTGTGTGTAAGAAGAGTTGGGGTGCCGGGGGGGAGAAGGAGTTTGCTGACTTTAAGTAGGATGCCTTTGGTTATGTTTATGTTTGTTCTGCATTTATGTATAAAATGTGAAACAACAGAAAAAGATATAAGAACACCCACAAAAGAAACGAAATATTATAAAGTAGCATGAAAAGAGTAAATGTACCTAGTTACCTTCTGTCACTGCTTATGAAAAAGTATTATAGCAAAAGCCAACTTAAATATACCATTTATTTTAATATACCTGGAGGACTTGACTGCATCATTAAATAAAGCCAGAGTGCGGCTCATTTGTGCAGCTGAACCTTAACTAGCCTACATTTCTAAACCCTGAGAAGTGACAACTTAAAACTAAACAGATACATGCTTGGTTGAAACGGAACCAGCAATGCCTCATGGGAATGAGCTGTGTCGAAAATCTGGGGGCTTAACTTTGACAGATAAGCAGGCTAAATGACTCGGCACCGCCGAGCTCCAAACAGAGCGCAGCCACAAAGAGGGCCGGTTCAGACCCGAAGCCGCAGTCTGTCTGTCAGCAGGAATGCTGGGGCCCAAATACACAACACACAGATCTGCATACCACACACAGCGCATAACAAGCAAAGCACGCAGACACTATCTCAGATTCTAGTCTGTTCAAAAATGATGGGTGTTTGTATATTGATACATAAACTGATGGTCATCAACTCTTTAAATGTGACTCAGATTTGATCAGATTTGTATCATTAAACAGGTCTGAGAATCTTACAATGCTAGCTGCTCTGTGAGGCCACCTGGTTGTGCTTTGTGCTAAATACCATCAACATGCTAACATGTTAGTTAAAGTTAAGATGATAGAATGCAGGTGTTAAGCGGCTACATTTCTTTTAACTTCATCTTAGTAGTGTTTGCAAACTCACTTTATCTAATTGGCACTTAACGCATAGGATGGAAGCACATTTCTGCAAGTAAAAGTAATAAACAAAATGAAAACCTCGCTTTGTGAAAGCAAAAAGAGATCCTAGAAGTATCAGAATGTATTATCTTTAAGCTTATTTCTCGAGGAGATAAGTTATGATACATATTCTGATTTTGAGATAAAGTTGTTATTTTCAAGAAAGTTGTCATTTGTTCCAAATACCAAGTCATTACTTTGAAATGATTTGTTATTTTTAGTTTCTCCTTATATTGAGAAACATTCTTCATACTTCATCATTATTTGGAGAAACAGAGTAATATCACTTTTTAAATAATTATTCATTATTTAAAGTTACACATTATGTCTTACAGGTTCCCATCACATTGGCAGAAGTTGATTAGTTTGACAGATATTTGGTTAAACATCCACATCTTGGATGAATTCAACTTTTGACCTGACTATGGAGCTAGAGGAAACATTAAGTAATCACTAAAGTAATTACAGTTAATCTGCAGGGACATAAATGTGTGTGCAAATGTCATTGCAATCCATTGCATATTTGAGAACATTTCACATACTCAATAGGATGTTGCCCTCTGAGAACCATGAATGTCAGACACCAAATGTAATGGCAATCATCTTACTCAAATAATTCCAGAAATATTTCAGTCTGGACTAAAGTGATAGCTGATATTTCATTATATATGGAAACCCAACATGTTCAATTCAAGATTTAACTGCTCAAACAAATACTTTCTGACATATAAGATCTAAAGGTTAAAGAGCGAGAGGAGAGCAACGGGAGGCAAACCTTCACAAAGCGCCTTGAATGTTGAGCAGCTGCCAACTCCTTCTGTTCCGCCTTAATATAGGGACATTATTAGATACAGAAATGTTCATCCTCAAGCATATTGCTATAATTTCTTTGACAATTCTGCGTGTGTGTTTTACCAGGTAGAGTGAATTGATTCCTTGAGGGAAAACTAATCTATTTATGAAAAACAGGCTGCATGTACAGCTTCATTGTGAAAAACAAACAAAAGCTTAAACAGAAAAATACTTCAATCCACTGTAGCCTTGTCTAGAATCTTTCATTGTGAGGGTTAACCAGAATGAATCAATTCATAAAAGGCAATAAAAACCAAACCTGTCAAAAGCAAAGCATCTCTCAAGAAAAAGGCCCTTTGTTCAAAACAATCTGCTTTCCCATCTCAGAGCCAGACACTGTTTCAGAAATCTCTCCTTCCTGTGTGTGCCTTCTGTTTTCCTTCATGTGAAAAAAAGGAAGAACATAAATGAGGGAGAGCAAGAGAAAAAAACGCATGCATCAATCAAGTCGCTTCTACTGCCAACAATGAGGTCAGTCTTTCATTTACTGGACTCACTGATTCTGAACAAGCCACAGCTATCCTCCTACACATGAACACACCAACACACACTTCTTAAAAACGATTTATTTTGGAGAGAGGGCATGACATATAATATATAAACACTTTCATTAAAAACATACTATTCTTTACTTGCTGTAAAATACATTTGATACATTAGACTTTGCACTGCAAGTCCTGTCGTGATACATCATCATTTATAATATATAGATCTCTAAACAACTAGTTTGTATTCATTTGCTTACCACAGGGTTCTTTATCCTACTGTCTTTTCCTTAAAAATAACACT